AAAACAAAGGTGGAATTCGGAAGCTTGTCGATATATTCTTACCCAAACATTATATTACCTGCCGTTAAAATCGTTATGAATATAAACTGTAGCACTAACTTATATTTTTTAAAGTAAATTAATATATTTTATGAAGTCGGTTAATAATAAGAGTAGAATTAACCAATCAATCTACATCTTTATTCTAATATTTATTTTGTAGAAAAAAACAAATAATTTAGATTCAATAGTTTTAAATTAGAATTATCAGTTTCCTTATTTCCTGATATTTGTGCCTAATTTATAAAAATAACAGTGGTCATAGAATTTTATAGTAAAGATTGTTAAGAAAATTTCTGCATGCTGAGGTCTCCTATAACTGAAGGAATACACTAACAACATACCTATTGTTAATGTTATACTGCCATTTTATATGTCTTTTGTTGGAGATCCAAAATAAATAAATGTAAAAAAAATAAACATGAAAATTCACCTAAAACAATATAACTCAACACTACAAAGACGAAAAAAATCTATAAAATTAGAATCAAAGTAAATAGTTACTACTTATGAAATAGTGACAATTGTTTGCATAAAAATGGATAAAAAATAGCAGGAATCATTTGGCTGGTAGCACAAACTTTCATTTAACAAGTAAAATAGATAAGTCACAAAGTCTCAGTACATTTGGCCAAATGTTTTTTTTTAGTTAATTTACATTTAATTTCGCATTGTAATCAAATGTCTCACTTTTTTCTAGTGCTAAGAGTAGGTTGGGCCTAATACAGTGCCTGTGGAACTCCAAATTTGTATGGCGATGTAAATAGTCAATTAACCGATTTTCGATATAAATGAGATTCCATATTGTCTAATACTAGTAGTTACCCCTACTAAACACTTAAGAGGCCACATTAATTCTCTTTCAATTAACACTGGACTTGTGAAATGTATCTCAGGCCAGAGAACATTGCGGAGTAAGTGAGCTTGATATTTATTTAGCGTTGGCTCCAACTTAATAAGTTTCTAAGTACTTGTTAGTCTGCCAGCTTGTTATAAGTAGGGTAGCAGCAAGATAAAAGGTGCAACTTGTTAAATTTAATTTAAAAAAGTATTTCAAGGTCTTATATTAGACGAAATGTCGTTTTCATTTCTGAATATTGTAAGCTTTCTCTTTACAGTGCCTTAAAAATAAACTTTATAAATGGAAAACAATTTTTGCCTTGATTTAGTTAACCATTATATTTTAGGGAATTGTTTTACTGCACGGTTGGCGCGATGCTTGGGCAACTGTTGGCGGTTCAATTCCTTAGCACGATTCTTTTTGCGATCCACAGATACAATACAACGGAAAAGCACCTACGATACATGAAAAATTTCTGGTGTGGGGAAATGTTTTTTTTAAAGTTATGTTAAATTAAAACCCTTTAATATAACAAAACAAGTCAAATTCCTTTTAAAGACAAAAATAATTCAAATGTCTTGAAAAGTAATAATATCAAAGAATAATAGAAAATAAAAAAAATACTTAATCCTGGTACTTGATAAATACGTGGTCCATAGTGTATTAATTTGTCTTAAAAATGTTTATGCCTTTTCGTTATAATATCAACATGCAACGAGCATTCAGCTTAAAATCATCCAAATCCCCAAATCCACCACTGTTTTAACCCTTAACTCTTACACGCGCGGAGGAGGGGATTATACGTGCGGGAGTCCGTGGTCACACCAGGTGGCTTACCATCAGGTGATCTACTTCAATGGCCTTTCTATCACGTAAAATAACGATGATCATTATGTCTTCTAAGCATACCAACACATGAATGCGGTCATAATAGCAAGGGGTTGAATTCAGTAAATTTGTCATTAGGTATTTCCAGGAGCTGTGTTTGTGCAAACAGGAGTCAAGCGTTCGGATATTGCCATTTGGCAATAAAAAAGCATTAAACGATGTATTGTAAGTAGGATTGAGTGACTTTTCCTGTAGTTAAACAGATATTTTTAATAAAGAGTTTTTTTTACGAGCCGATGGATTACCTGATGGTAAGCAATCAGCGCCGCCCATGGACACTCGTAGTACCTACCAGGACGTTACAAGTGCGTTGCCGACCTCTTGAAGGTTATTGGGTATTTAAGGAGTTGGAGCAATTGGAGGGAGGGTGAAACACAAAGTGAGTATTACTTACTACTTCACGCCGGTTTTCTGTGAGGCCGTGTTATCACTCCGGTCGAGCCGGCCTATTCGTGGCTCTCCCACACTTCAATAATAAATTATCAAGCATCGATGCAGGACTCAGATCACATTACAAAAATGATGGTAAGGTTTCACGCTAGCTTTCTGAGAGGTTGTAGTATATCAACATGGCTCTCCAACTCTTAATTTTGTTCCTTATTATATTTTACAACCTAAGCAAGAAGGCAGGCATCACGGCATATTGTATTTGAAAGATCACAAGCCGCTCATATTTCCCAGAACTAATTTTCAATTATCTGACAAGCATCTCTGAGAGACGAAACGTTTCTCAATAATTAAGAGATGATAGAGGAAAAGTAATAAAAGTGCGATCATCAAATCTCTTAGCAGATTAACCAACTGAATTAAAACGAATCCTCGGCAAACACGACGCATTATAATGCTCTAAACGTTACTCGCCGATCATAACAACACAATTGTCAACTCTCATTCTTTTAAATAAAGTCCAAATCAGCTTTTACTTCTAAGTTAAGTGCCTTTTACAGTAAAAGAGCTTTTATTACACCAATATAAATGCTAGAGTCGCGTGCAGGCCGGGTGTAAACGTGAGTAAAGTTTTACTTTTATCCACAAAAAGGTAGTCTGAGAACACCGCCAAATACGTGAGGTATAAAACTTTAATAGGATGATGTTTGTTTTATGCGATCATTTTAATTTCGCATTCTTGGCTAGCGGGAACCATTTCTTTATAGCTAGTTAGTTTTTACGATAACTCCATCCCATGCTGTCCAATTTTCATTTACCAATTTCCCAATAAATTTGTTATAGGTACATTTTATTTCTTTAGTCTTTAGGTGTCTTAGGTATAACTCATCTTAAACGAAAACAATATTTATATGTTTTCACAATTTTATTTATTAGAGACGAAAAAAAATACTAAAGTTTAATACATTTTTCTATTCTAAGATGCGAAACATTTTGACAATGAAGCACATCGTGTTCAACTTTACACCCATTATTTAAATCCTGTGCCGCGTAAAACAACCGTTATCTTAAATCCGCGAAACGTAAAAAGATCTGTGAATGTAAAGTGCCATTGTCCTACTGACCTTGGCACTTATGAGTGACTTACGCACATTTTGGCAGGATCCCTCTTAAAAATTTACACAAAACTAACTCCTATTTACATCGTAGTAACGGTGCGTGTTTGTAAACAAACTCCAAACTGCACCCCCATTGGGGAAACTAATTGACATTAGAAGAAGAAATAAAAACTGCAGTTTAATCAACTTTATCGTCGGATATTATGATAAAGTAAAGCAATAGATATGAATTATTTCACCAAACTTTAGACAAGAGGTTTACAAAACTTTGAAAATTGTCATGGTACGTTAATAGGTACAGCTAAGTCATGAAAATGGTTGAAATGATTCATTTAAAAGTGGTTTCTATTCTCTATAGAATAGAAGTGATCATATTTTAGATTCTCCTAAATATTTATTTTTAAAGAATGTAATTGAAATTAAGCTTGGTTAAGCAGTATTGATTCTGGCTATAACTTTGCCGTATCCTGGTATTGGATTGAGATCACGTGCCTTAGAGACTAACTCCCGATTCATTTAGGTTTTCCTCACAATAAGATTGGAAATCAAATAAATTTCAATCCAACTCGACCTTGAGCCGAGTCTTTCGTTCAAATCGAATTCATCAAAATAATGAAGACGGTCACGATGCTCTGTTGGTTATTGAATCGAATATTTAGCATTTTTCTGTGATTTATTAGTTTTTTAACAGTACAATTCGATGTGGAATTAATTATTTGTATAAAGACACTTAAATGAAAAGCGTTAATTAGGAAAGCATTATTAGTATATGAAGACAACCCAAATAAGCATCACATTCCATGCATAATTGTTAAGGTACTAATTAACATCATGTACCAAATAATTAACATATCTTGCACAGGGACGAAGTTAAATACATTCTCAGAAACAGTTATCATAATTACAATATTTCAACTGACAATCAATTATTTCCGAGTTAAACTTGATTGTATTCTGTTTCACGTAGTAATTAACTGTCAGCTTCAGAATTGATGAAAGCATCCACAGATTTCCGGTTCAAACTAATTGTGTTATGAGTTGAAAATTTGAAATACTTCTTCTTAGAGGTTAAGTAGAAATGTTCCCTGGGCTAATCAGTACAGAATATTTTTGTTTAAAGTTCACACGGGCTACCGTCTCTCGTACAACGTGTCGATTCCCAAACAGAACTTTTTTTGTGTGATCCACAAGTTTTTATTCCAGTTGAGTTTCTGATGTGTGAGTGTGAGAAATTGTTTGTTCGCTCATGTAATAATATAATAGTTTTTTTTAACAACAATTCAGACCACTATGTCTACCTTGTGTCATTGACGGCATAATGAAATAAAGTTATAAAGTTAAAAATATATTGATATAAAACTTAAAATTTTGTGCCCGTCACAATTAACGTGAATTATCTTTAAAGAGCTCACTAAGTCGTTAATTTATAAAATATAGGTAGATAATTGTCAGTCTACAATACAACCTAACAAAACTTAGTTTAATACACTCGTTATTAATTGTAACGTTCATCTAATTAAATTTGAAATCAGTAGGATTTGTCGATGAAAATAAATAATTTCTTTCCACTGTGTAGGGGCCGCCTGTAGAAAGAAAAAATAATATTAGAGAATCTCAAAATTAAATCGAAGTATTGATGTAATTAAACAGAACGTGTTTTAATTACCCTCTTGATACCATTGTGTCGTTGGAATTCCCGACTCCAGTCTAGCTGCGACAATTCGCAGCTAGACTGGAGTCGGGAATTCCAACGACACTTCTTCTTCTTCAATGGCTTCTATCAGGGCAAAAGCAACAACGACAGCCATGCACATTGGTGGCTCTCCAATACCTACACAGAACCGAAAACACAGAGTACGATCACAATAAATGTTCATGCCATTTTGTATACCGATTATTATAACATTTTTAAAACTTACACTTTGTGCCAAAAATGATATCTTCCATATAAGAATTCTTCCTAAAATATATTCTCCAGTCTTGAGGAATACAGCCGCAAGTAGTCCATCAGCGTCACGTCCGAGCTGACTTCGCATCCCACTATAGATTTTTAAGCCGCTTATTGATTTTTAAGAATTAAATTTCTATTGATACTAAGAACAACTTCAAAGATTGTCAATGATGATATTGGTAGAAAGAGCTCAGAAATCATAAGAAGTCAATACTTATTAGTAAATGAAATTTATACTGTACTACAGAGTGCTAGAGATTAGTATGACAAATCTTTTAAAATTATTTCAACAAAAATTTGTAGGTCTGCTAAACAATTTCTACCTGAATACTGCAATCTATTGATTTTAAATATTATCTTCCCCATGTTCGACTGTTGACCTGCTTCAACTAATTGTTACGAAGCAATACCAATGCAATAAATAGTTACTTGGTTTAAATAATTCTGCATTTATAGTGTAAACTGGATGTGTATTACACCATTTTTATGGGATAGTGCACAAACAAGGAGACGGGAACTGGTGGTAAGCAGCGTTGCCAATATTGCTGTGCTGTATATGCGAAACTCTAGAAGAGTCACATAGTCTGCGTTATCGCACTTTTGGAGGTTGTTAAAATTTGCGGATTGGTACCAGAAAGGGGGAAGGATTGGTCCTTCGGGAAATTCTATGCACCCACCGAAATTACTAGCTTAATATTAGTTATATTTTATGTCCATGCGATAAACCTTCAGATCCAAACATACAAACATATAATAAAAAAAATACAATATTAATAAAGTTTATTTAAGAGAATAAAAATAATTATATACGTTACAGTTTAATTCTAATAAAAAGGCTTTTTAACAAATGTTTCTTCAATTAAACTTAAAATCAGCTATATCTGTGGACGACAGTAACAAGTTTCGTTCAACAGTATAGGGTCCCTCTGTAAAAAAACAAAAGAAAAAACATAAATGAAAGTAAAAGACCGTTGAAAATATATTAATCTACAAATAAAATTATCCACGACAGTTAGTGGCGGTGATAAAACCAAGGTTAAAATAAAATACAAGTAACTGATTTTAGTAGTGCTATAATATACCTTCTTGGTACCACTGCGTTGTAGGAATGCCTGCTTCCAGTCTAGCTGCGACGATAGCTTCCCGCAGAGCGAAAGCCACAACAACTGCCATACATATTGGGGGCTCGCCAATACCTAAAAAACTTTCAATTTGATACACTGTATCAACAAAATTCGAAATAATAAGACAGTTAAAGAATTTGACGCCAACATCACCACCAGTGAAGTAAAATAAATAAAGGAGAGATTAAAACAGAATTCAAATGTTAACCATTATAAATTAAGTACAGCAGGCTCGTAATGGAGGGCAATGATAAGAGTTACCCAAGGTCATAAATTCTCAAAGATCTCGTAGACAATGGCCAGCCTATTACCATTTATAAACAATCGCGATGCTAATTCCCTAAATTAATTTCTAAAAGTGCAATTATTTTAAGTATCACTTGTACTTTTGAGCATGTTTCTTGATCTTACTAGTACTTACTAGAATTTATTGTCAAGTTATTGAAGTACATATTAGCTTCCGCCGACACATTCTCTGATGCAATGGCACTCAAAGTCAACAGAAAATTGTACAATATTTAATCCACTGCTTAAGAATCATGTTGATTTTTTTTAATCGTCTACTTACACTTAGACCCGAAAACAGTATCTGCACTATAAGAATTCTTCCTGAAATAGACCCTCCAATCCCGAGGTATATCTCTAGCTAAGGGCACATGGTAGTTCCAGGACCGGTCGGTAAGGAGCTCTCCGGTTGGAGAGTAAATTAGTCTCTCTGAAGTCCAGTATCCTACACCCATCATAAAAGCACCTTCCACCTAATAAAATAAATTGTAAATCTTAATCAATGAAATTAACTGTACCGAATAAATTTTTGTAAAAACGAACTTACTTGACCGATATCAATTTCTGGGCTAACGCTTTGTCCAGCATCTTCGTAGAGATCTACTCTAAGTAACTCAGACTGCCCAGTTAATATATCTACTTCAACTTCAGCCAAAGTTACTCCATAAACTGGGAAAGGATACGCCTCATCAGTCCTAGTAAACCCATGAGCTTGCAAATCTACATTACTATTATACGCTTTGGTTATCAGCTCTTCCCATGTAGGATTATCCATCGTGTCTCTTATTGGTTTTAATCTATCAAGAAGTTGTTGACAAGCTCGTTTTACCCCCAGTATAACATTCTGATTCATAATACTTCCTCCGGATAGGGCACAGTTTGGCGCTATTACCGTGTTATTCTCCTTTACTATAATTTTCTCTACAGGAATGTTTAGCAAGTAAGCTGCAATTTGAATTGCCTTAGTATTGATACCTTGTCCCATTTCTATGGCACCATGTGTTATTACTACAGAACCATCTCCACGATAAACTGATAAATTAATGTAAAGATTTATCCCTCCTACTGGTGTCCATCGCAAAAGAGCGAACCTTAGACCCCTTTTCTTCCATCGGTTTTCAGTGTTAAATTTGTTGACTGCTTCGCGTCTTTTTGGATAATCGGCATGAATCTTTAAATAATCAACCATTTCTTTGATATCATTGGCGTATTGTGAATCTAAATTAGCTAGCCTTACATCTAGAGGATCTAGATTCATCTCGTAAGCTATTTGTTCCATCACCAATTCAGCCATCGCAACATGTTCCAAAGTCCCTTCAAATTGAAAACAATAATTATTATAGCATGGAATTAAAACAATAAAAAAATAAAATGCATCCCAAGTATAAAGACAGACCTGGTGCTCTTGCCCATGTATTCTTCGCAGTGTCAGTAATAGAATCAAAGCTTGTATAGTTCCAACGAGCCCTGTTGTAGGCATTATTAAATTGGCCCTCTCCAAGTTGAGTAAATTGTTCATTCTTTTTATATCCGTTGTCTTCGTGTATTTCATAGTTAATGTACTGTATGACTCCGGTGCTGTTTACTCCAGCCTAGTAATAGAATCAGTAATTTTGCAATATTAATTGTATTCTTGTAGTTTGACTATACTTAAAGTATTTAAAAACTTACCTCAAAATCGGCACAGGCTGGCAGTCTCTTACCCAAGGCTCTGGTGTTAGTAGTCAGAGACTGAATAAATCGACAAGGTCTATTTAGTTTCTGTACTGTGAGAGCAGCAGCTATAGCTCCTTGACTACTACGAGATAATTTCAAACCATACGCTCCTCCGCAGCGACGGGTGTGAACATCAACCCTATTGATTAAATACGATATATTATAAAGAAACTATATTCTTTATTCTTAAAAAAGTGATAAAATAAAAGAAGTACATACTGGTTTTGACTCAAATTCAAAGCTCTCGATATCATTAGTTGCACACCTTCCATCCACTGGGTAGAACAGTATACTTCCAGTCCCTCATCAGATGGCTTCACAACTGTAGTTAAAGTTTCCATGACGTAATGATACTGCCCATGAACCTCATTGAATCCTTTTATTACTTCTACGACATCTGTACCAGTATCTGTTGCGGCAATGTTCGTAAATTGTGTACTCCTTTCAGAGTTGTTTATAGTCTGTTTTACATCTAGCAGTGGGTCTTTAACATTAGCATAAGTGGCTGTCACTAATTTAGCAGCTCTGTCAGCTATATAACGACTCTTGGCTACAACTATGGCCATTGGCTGGTTATAATATTTGACTGTACCACTGGCTAATATTTCTTCATTGGCTGAATACAAAAATGAATCAGGTGGAGTGAAGGAGTTTATTCCTGGAATATCTTCTGCTGTGTAGACGGCTATTACTCCAGGGTATGCCTAAGGAGATTTCAATATTTAAGTATATATTACTGGCGACACATATACAAAAACACAAAGCAACCTTACCAACGCTTTGCTGCTATCAATAGAAACAATATCTCCGAGCGCAACTGTACTCAGAGCAAAAGCACAGTATACTTCGTCAGGAAAATTTGGCAAATCTTCAGTGTAGAAAGCCTCCCCTGCACATTGTATCTGCATAAAAATATGAGAAAAAATATGAAATTTAATATCAAAAACATAAGAAGGAACTAACGAGAATCTGAATAATACTAATATTTACCAAAGCTTCCACTTTTTGAATAGGTTTATTAATAGGCCAGACCGTTGTGTTGGTGTCGAAAACTTGAGCAGCTCTAGAAACTGGACGCTCATCATGCAAGTTCGTTGCTCCCGACTTATAGCGAGTATTCAAGTTAGTCTCAGGTGAGAGTGCTAGAAGACCCTGTAAATTTAGTTTTTTTTTTATACTTTGCCCGACTTTAGTATTTTCAACTCAAACATACAATTCCACATACATATCACACCAGTAACAATGACATGACAATGTCACATGTTTAGAATAAAATATTATTAAAGTTTAAATAGATTTTATACATGATTAAAATCCATAGCAGATACTTGATACAAAATAAAAATTAATCAAATGTGGTTAATGAATCAATAGGTGAAATATTGATATTCCAACTGTTTTAAATTATGAATTGCAAAAATCACAGCGAATAATTAACAAAACCGCATAGTAACAATAACATACTCTAAAATGGATCTTACTTTATAAAATAGCCCCAGAGCTGCTTTCTTCTTATACTCCACTGATGGATCTGGAGGATTCTCTTCAACTACCAGCTCTTGCTGCATAATTTTGAGTGCTGATGTTAAAGTCTCATTAGTGAACAACTTTTTTCCAATTAAGAACTGTTCAGTGGAAGAAGCACGGACGAATTTAGGTGAAAGTCCTCCAAATACTATCCTTACGCTTTGAACCACATTATTATTCGTTAACTTGTACAAAAAACCTGCATTGACCAAAGCGGGAGCATTCGCCGTCCGTGGCATTATCTGCAAAATTAATGTTAACATATTTCAAAATTTTAAAACAACACTCTCAAAGTTCTTACTTATGTCACATTTAATTTGATAATAAATTGAGTGATACTTCAGAAAATATTCAAGACTAAACTTCTTTTTAATAGAAAATATATCAGCCGTATTTCAATCTAGCATTCTTTTAAGCGTTCAAAAATCACATAAAGTTGCTGGATATTAAGATTAATAATGTTTGCCTTCTAGATATTCTAACTATTATATTCCAATGAATAAAACACCTAACGAATTCACGGTATATCCATTTAATTGGTTACACTACATAAATCTAATCAATTAAAGTTTCTAAAGTAATATCTAAAAATTGAGAAAATGTTTAGTGCTTCATACTTGAAAACGACAGCGAATTTAAAATAATATTTGAAACAAACTTACCTTATAAGTGAAGATACGATGACTGTCATTAAGAGGTGGTAACATCACGTTACGTATGACACATCCCCTCATATTCACTTTGAGGAACTCTTGCATCGTTAACGTTTTCTTAATTAACAAACTCTTCTCTAAAATAAACAAAATATATACAGAACATAAACATGGCTCTACAAAGAAGAAGAAGAAGAAAAACAATACGAGCCCAACTTACGTATATTGACTTGTGCCCCTATCATTTCCAAAAGCAAGAAAACGTCTGACGCGAACCCGTTGTGTTGGTTCTTCATCATAAGGTTGCCTGCAATCGTCGCCACCTACAAATACATTATACATGTCAGCCGAGAAGCTCTCAGGACTCCTAGGTATTCAAATAAGATAGATCTAAATTACAAAACAGGCCAAATGCAAAGCAAACTTCTGTTAAGAGATTTTGTTAGAGTTACTTTAAGTTGGAATAAATAAGAAAAAAATGTATTTCTACTTGCATTTCTAACTGGAATATGAGCAACTTTTTCGAAGTGTTTGTAAATTTTCTGCAAATATCCAAAGTATTCTTCTTTTGCCACAGTCTTAAGTATCTGTAAAAACTCTGTGAGCGTTGTTCCAGCGTTCACAATAAGGTTTTGGTCAAGCGTGTATCCTTTTAGCTCCTGGACTCCACTAATGTCTACAATGACACGAGGGTATTCATCTATTGGATACACTCCTGAAATAATATTTTTGTGTTACTTCTCGTTCTTGTGTTTTATTTTATTAAATCATAACTGGCTACCATAGGATACTTGCCTCGAGCTGTGTTTCCACTTAGAAGCATGTAAGAGCTATCGCCTTCCCTTTTGAAAATTTTAAATATGTCTTTGACTTTTTGAACTCCAAACCAAATCCTATCGTCCTTTAATTGAATCTCAATAACGTCATTACTGTCTTCTTGATCTAAGAAGCACCACTCATTATCTTCACAGCTGTTACCCTTGTTACAAGTTTCTCCTGTTTTATTACAGATTTTTAGGTCTTCTATGTCCAAGAGTTTGATTTGTCTGGGAGCATCTGCAGCGAAACTTTTGAAAGCATCTAGTATAGGTCTGTAGCCAGTACAGCGGCAAGTCTGACTGCTTAAAGATTTCTCTACTTCCAACATCGTGATATTTGGATTAGCTTGAAGGAGACTGCAATCATAAAATAAAACTGAATGAATACGATCCGTTTTGAATTATTCTCAAAAAGCATGTTTATCCCACTAATACAATACATGCGAAAATTTATTTGTATGAGAGGACGTGATACGTGGAGAACATGCTTGATGGATGTTTGTTACTCTATACTAATATTATAGAGAGGTAAAATTTAAGCAGAGCAGCGGGTGAAACCGCGCGAGAGTAGCTAGTTCATTATAAATTATTTCATCATCATCATCATCAGCCTATAAGTGCCCACTGCTGAGCAAAGGCCTCTTCTCATACGGAGACGGTTAGAGCATTAATCACCACGCTTGCTCAATGCGGGTTGGCGATTTCAAACTCATAATTAGAAATTGTAAGTCCAGGTTTCCTCACGATGTTTTCCTTCACCGTATGTCAGTGGCGTCTAAATAATCATCGAAAGTACATATAACTCGGAAAAAGTCACATTGGTACTTGCCAGGTTTCGAACCCACACTCTCATGCATGAGAAGCGGGCTCCTTAACCTCCGGGCCACCACGGCCCTACGACGACATAAATTATTTGTACTTACTGAATAATCTTATAATCATTTGTACCTTACGCTCAATGGAAAAGACAGATTTTTTTCGAGAAGGTAATCATAATAGCTACTGTCTTCCCTTATTCATGATTCATAAATAATAATTAAATATGGATGTTACAGAAGTTCTAAGTGAAATATAAAGAGGAACAGGAAGTTATTTCAATTATACAATTTCCAAATGTTACTGTTGTTTATTTAAGTGTTCATTGACAAACAACTCGAAATGTTATCATACCAGCTGTTACAATAAAATTTTGAGTGATAATATTAATTTGTTCGAATGGCATCTTAGTCAGTTCTCGAAAGAAATTGCATAATGTTAATTGGCGTATTTAGATGTCTGACTTTACCTGTTCATGGCCATGACCCAAGAAGGTGAGCAGTAGCCACATTGGGAGCCATTTTTCTCCGCCAGTGTCGTCTGGAGCTCATGGTAGCCTTTCTTCCTATTGCCCAAACCCTCAATGGTGGTGATCTCCCAGCCATGGCACGACGTGACTGGTTTTAGACACTAATAAAAATACTCTGTTATTGTATCCTCCATTCCTCATTAAGAATGTTCTGTCTTGTTTCTCAAATGATCGCAATCAAGGACTTCACAACGCATTATTGGATTTTTCGATTATTTAGACCTGGATTATGCCTGAATTATGGCCGTGGACCGCTCAATTGGCTAGTTTCTTTTGTTAATAAGAAATTATTTCTTCTTATACAACCATAAAAATACTCAAAAATAATCACACCTGCATTCATTAACTTTCGATATACTTACATACGTTTCGATATAAAATATTATGATACCACTCGTCCTTATTCATACAAGACTAATAGAAAATTGTCGTTTTAAACATTTTCAAAAATGAAATAAATTTGACTAGATGGAAACTACCGTATTAATTTTACATTAGATGAATTCCTATGAGGATCAAAGCATAAAGTTACCTTATCTTACGATGTTTGTTCAAGACTATTTAATAATTACCGAGTTGATTGCATAAGGCTTTGATGAAGGTGAGCAAGCGCTGACCACGCACCCTCCACAGCCACCTTCCCGACACATGTACTTAGTACCGCGAAGACCGATGTGGTCTCGCAAATAGTCCAATAGCATCACATCTGAAGTAAAGTCGCATCCCACTGGAGACAAAAAAAAATTTTAACAATCAATAAGTTTAATAGGAAAATTTTAGTTTTCTATAGAAAACTATAACTATAAAATTTTAGTTTTCTATATAAGGTTTTAAAAAGCTGCAGTGAATGGCATGCTATAATGTAGGTACTATTCTTATCTGATATATGAGTCATGATCAGACCATCAATAATTTTACTGACAGTTCTGGTCGTGACAAATTAAATGTTTTTATTTTTTGAATTTTATTTTTTTGATTTAAAAAAATATGTGTGAGAGCTGTGCTTCATCAGGAAAAGACAGGTTCTACCGCAACGATACCACGGTCCCACAGAAAAACCAGTGTGTAACTATGCATGCTTTAGGGTTCTCCGCATGAGCGAGGTATCCAGAGACAGAGTAGTCCCTCTTTCATATCCCCAATCCCAAATCCTGAACCACCAAAAAGCAGACAGCGCACTTACAATTCCTGTGGTGATGCGGATTCTATACCATCAGTTAATAATTGTTCGTCAGATCTATCTCTTAAAAATACTCACTAGAAAGAACGAAATCAAGGAATCACAATTTTGTTTTTATAATAACTATCCTGAGACATACTAAATTAACTAAAAATCGCGGGTTACTCACGTGTATAAATTGAGAAAAGCTCTACTAGTCACAATTTTAATATAAGTATATATAATTATAAATATTTTTTTTTTATATTTACCTGAATATTCGACGCCATTCACTTTAAATTTTATTCTATTCATAGTCGACTGCCTTCAGCGAGACTTGGCCATGTAATAACTAGGCTTCTTGCAGTAATAAATACACAGATCTGTATAGACAATGACTGTCAAAATTAATTCATCATATAAATAATGTTACTTAAATATTAATTATTTGATATTGATATTATTTTGAAACATTTTCTTTGACAATTAAAAGAATTTAAAAATAATATTTACATTTTATATGCTTATTACCTCCAGCGTATGAAAACATGTTTGTATGTGTGTGAATTTTAATAAAAAAATGTTATAGGCAATAATTAAAATAGATTAAGTGTAGGAGAGCCTTGCTTCGGCACGAATGGGTCGGCTCGACCGGAGTGATACCACTGCTTCACAGAAGACATGAACAACCACAGCATTGGGTTTGAATGAGGTGGTAACCGGGGGGCCAAATCCTTCTCCTCCACCAATCCCTCCCCAATACCTAGGTATTCCAAACCTTGCAACACACTCGTGACTCCTTTGTTATTGCGAGTATCCATGGGCGGCGCTGATTGCTTACCATCAGGTCTGCTCGTTTGCCGTTCTATCAGGTACAAAAATAATAATAATATTTTTTGAGCTAGTAAGGTGCCACACATGTCACATTGAAAAAAAAATCAAAAATATTATTAATGCACAATTCACGGTCTTTTAAGTACACATGTACGAAAATCACAGAAATATGCTTTCACTATAATACTACAGTTTAATAAAGTTAATTTTATTACACATTTACAAAAGACAAGTTACTTAAACTTGTCTTTTTCATTAGCTAACTAAAAATATGACTTTCTAACGTGAACGAGTCTCTCTTGACTCGTTTCGAGACATTCCGGGATCCTTACTCGTAAGAAATCACAACGACGCTAAGTTATTAAAATTAGTTTACTTAATAGTAGTTATTATAATACAAAATATGTATAAGACAACTCTTCTATTAATTCATAAGTGTATCTTGTACACACTTGTATCTGTTACACCACGCTATACGGTCAATGTAGACACGACTCTAAAGCCACCTGCACCGATACGTGACAACGATATAAAAAAAGAAAATGTATGTATTAGCTTGTCCTCGCGGTTCACCCTCGTGCTATGTTGATAAAAAGTAGCCTATGTGTTAATCTATCTACAGATAAAATTTCACCCAAATCGGTCCAGCCGTTTTTGCGTAATACATTCGTGCCGAAGCATGGCTCTCCCACACTTAAAATAATAATGATTTCAGAACGAAATAAAATTTATCTTTGAAAGTCTAGTAATATTTTTATATAGTCCGCGCCGGTAAATGCAAATAGCCACTAAAGTGTTTATTCTTCTAGGTGGAAGCGATTACTTGGGACGTAAAATAATTATTTAAATACAGATAACAATAAAGCTAGAAAATTAAATGAAAGAGTTTTATCTGCAATTTTTATTACGAAAAAATAGGGGTGGTGTTCATTATTCATTGAAACGTTTAGCCAGTTGTGGTGTTAGCTTTCTTGGTAGCCAATTTAATCTTACTTAAGTATATTATAAATGCAAAAGTTACGATATTTGGATGTTTGTTACTCAATCAGGCCAAAACGGCTGGACGGATCTCGATGAAATTAGGCACATGCATAGGATACACCCCGGAATAGGACATAGGCTTTTTATCAACATACCACGCGGCGAAACCGCGGTTTAGTTTTAAGTATTATTTCTAAATGTTGTCCGTTTTTCCTTGAACCAAACTAGTAGTTTTTTTAAATTAATTTCGCTTGCCGGTTTTCACAAAATAGTTATGAAGATTTCTTAAAAATTTAAGTCTTGAGGGAAGGCCTTCTCCTTCCCTTGTAGGTGATATTATGATCATTCAATTAATATTCATCGACAGAAAAGTCTTACTAAAGATAAACTTATATATATATATATATATATATATATATATATATATATATATATTATCCACAAATGAATAAGTATACCTACTTGTAATAGCAACATATTAATTTATCACCGTACTTAACTTCTTTTCTTTAAAACATCTGTGTTGACAAAAGCATTGCTAAATAATTTTGTTAAAACACATTATTTATTTTATCGGGTAAAATATTAGCTTTACTACGTAAATGGCCGTTGTTTTTCATTTTTTATTTGGTTTTTTAAATGCTAATTAGAGGATAGAAAGGAAGCAAGTGGCTCATGGTAAAATTAAAGATATTCTACATATGTTTTAAAAGAAATTCTGTAAGTATTATCACAGTTTGGATTGGTCTTCGGTGTATTACAATAGGTATCGTGACCAATTTAATTTTAATATCCGTATTTTAGATTAACTTTAGACATTAGAATCAAATTCTTTTGTGCGATAATTTTATCCGCCCACTGCTAGATAATAAAAGTACGTTAGTAGGTAGTATTATTGCGCATTACGATATTTTCTTTATGCCTGGAGTAGTGTTAGAAGATAGTCTTCTATATCATCCTTGCTATAACAGTTATCTGGCAAAAAAAGCTAGGAGCTACGACAAACTCATTAAAAAAAAAAATTTACAAAATAAAAAAACCGCCTTCAAAAAAGTCAAGCAATAAAAGTTCCTACACTAAAAAGTAAAAAATAACAATTTGAATTACTGTAAAAAAACTTAATTTATAGGTAAACTTATTTGACATTAATATTTTGCAAATATTCAAAATTTATTACTTATTTTTGGAGTCGGTGCCAGCATTTTGATGTTGAAACTTAATGTTAGTTAGGTTTTTAATATCCGGTGCCATTTTTCGTACATAATGCTTAAACATTTTCAATGTACTTAAAATGTTTTTGTAAGTACATATTTTTTATTTAAAAAAATGTGCAAATCGGACATTTTTTGTAGAGAAGTCTAATCTGTATTTATGTCTTAATTAATATACCTATATTTGAGTATGCAAATAGGTATTAAGTAGTTTTATAATTAAGTAAGAGGTAGTTTTTCAAGGGATTGTTGCCCATTTGTATTTCCTTGCATGGGCTGGCACCGACTCCAAAAATAAGTAATAAATTTTGAATATTTGCAAAATATTAATATCAAATAAGTTTACCTATAAATTAAGTTTTTTTACAGTAATTCAAATTGTTATTTTTTACTTTTTAGTGTAGGAACTTTTATTGCTTGACTTTTTTTGAAGGCGGTTTTTTTATTTTGTAAAATTTTTTTTTATTTGTAGCCGTTTAGTGTTTTTTTTTTTTATTATAATGTGTTATGGCAAAGAAGTCAATATCGTTCCTACATTTCTTTTGAAAAAGTTACCAATGTCATACTTATACGTAGAAATACATATCATAGTACATTGTTACTGTGTAATCGTTTTGATCTCGAGGAGAGATGATATGATGCATGAGATACTTATGACTTATAGTTAAAATAAAATAATAATCTTATCATAAATTCATATTAGTTCTCGCCAAATAACAAAAAACTAGATATTTTCATCAACAGACAGATAAAGTTCAAAGATACCAAATGCAATCTAATTTAGTATCTATGATTAAATACATTCGTACATAGAAAAAAGACCGATGCAATTATTGTTTTGTATCAATTGTAACCCATTAAATGAAGAATACTATTTTGTTATTACTAAGAACATTCATATATAGACAAGTTGGTAAAAATATAAAAGACCATCGCTATTGTAAATATACATTTATGACTCATTCAATGTATGAACCTTTTTTAAGTAAGTATTATCTACATATGTGCACACAAAAGAAACACAATTATTGTTTTGTACGACGCAATTATTGTTTTGTAACCCATTTAAAACGACTGTTTTGTTAAAAATGCCAATTAATTCTCTTAGCCTATTACCAGGAAAACGATAAGAACACAATGACGCATTTCACCACTAATGTGTAAACGCAGTCCACGTGGACTAATGCAAAATAGCCAATACTAGGCCTAACTCCGCCCCCAAAGGTGTGCGGTCCCGCTCTAGAACCTTTCGGCCCCATCGGTCATCTGTTCTACGAGCAATGTGCCGTGCCCACTGTCACTTAAGTTTGGCATTTCTTCGGGCTATGTCGGTGACGCTGGTTCTTCTGCGGATTTCTTCATTTCTGATTCGAACATGCACGGAAACTATGAGCATAGCCCTTTCCATTGCTCTTGACAGCTCTAATAAGCTTACACAATACTAGGCCCCATGCCAACCTTCCAGCTTCATCATCACATCAGTTCAATAGTACCTTACAGCCAAAGTGCATCTTATAACAATTCTAACAAGCCCAAACACGGCTAGGATATATTAATTAGGTACGCAGTTCCAGTGCCTACCTTCCAGCTCCATAATCATCATTAAATCAGTTCGATGATAACATTTCCAACATAATTATTTAAGATAATTGGTTTACAGTGCATTTTCATAGTTGCTGAACTACCTTGATTGTGATATCTATGCGAGTGTCAAGTTTCATCATCCATTTCTGATCTTCTTCACCAGTTCCACCTCATCAAACATTACTTTTTGACTGTAAATGCTTGAGTGCTCTATGAAAATATTAAAATTACTATATAGTTGCCTATAATATTTGAGGAGTTCCCTCGATTTCTCATGGATCCCATCATCAAAACTTGATTTTGAAAAGAATGGGACCAATCTGGAAGCATATCCTTTCAATCATAAAAAAAATTTTGCAAATCCGTCCATAAACGACGGAGTTCTGAGGTAACAAACATAAAAAAAAAAAATAAAAAAAAAAAAAATACAATCGAATTGAGAACCTCCTCCTTTTTTTGAAGTCGGTTAAAAATGGCTTCATTGGTAGATAGAAGAAATATTCTCGATTCTTGACCTCACATTTTCACAATCTGTTCAACCAGAGCTTCACTGCATTGAGATTCTTTTTTTTTTTAAAGTGAGAGAACGGCAATTTGAGGAGTGACCTGATGGAAAGCAATCGGCGCTGTCCATGGACACCAGCAATAGCATCTGCTATTGTCTAATAGTCTGTGTCTAATATTATAAACGTGAGAGTTACGAGT